GGGGGCAAGTGGTCGAAGACGAAAAATCCACAATGACTGAGGCTTCGGGTTGGGTAGTCGCTTGTTTTGAACATTTCTTTTGGGGTGGGAAAGTGGTTAAAAAAAGTCCACACCTTCGGGCTGGAGGTTGCTTCTTTTAGACATTCCTTTAAGGATGGGCAAGTGGTCGAGGACAAAAATCCACCATGACTAAGGCCTTTGGGCTGGGTGGTCGATCCTAGTGTTGGGTTGTTGAAGACATAGGGATTATTCGAGGAACTCAGTGGCAGAGTGAAAGTTTTTACTTGATTCTAGTTTTGTCGAATTTATTTTTTGACCTCAGTGGCAGGTTTATGAAGTCCATTTGGTGCAATTCATGGAGATTATTCGAGGACCTCAGTGGCAGGTTGATGGTTTTTACTTGGTTTGGTTTTGTTGAATTTGTTTTTTTACCTCAGCGACAAGTCGATAGTGTCCATTTGGTGCAATTCATGGAGATTATTCAAGGACCTTGGTGGCATGTCGATGGTTTTTACTTGACTTGGTTTTGTTGAAATTATTTGCTAACCTCAGTGGCAGGTCGATGAAGTTTATTACGGATAGCTTAAGCAGGACGATGGTTTTTACTTGGTTTGGTTTTGTTGAATTCGTTTTTTTACCTTGATGGCATGACGACGGAGTTCATTATGGATAGCTCGAGCAGGTCGATGATTTTTATCTAGTTTTATTTTTTCGAATTTGTTTGTTGACCTCAGTGGTCGGTCGAGAGGAAGTTCACTTTGTGCAATTCACAGAGTTTATTTGTAGACCTTATTGACAGGTCGAAGGTTTTTACTAGGTGTGATTTATGGATTTATTCGAAGACCTCAATGGCAGACCTCGAAAGAAGGCCGAGTATTTTCAGTCAACAGAGGTAGGTTAAAATTAACGGGCAAGATTATTCGAGAAAAGCATAAACGACAGGGTTGGATTTCAAATTTTCCACTAAGGCACAACAGGATGAGGTGGTAGAAAAGGTTTATCTTCGATCAAATAGAGCTCAAACATTGTGGTCGAAAAACAACGCGTGGGTTCAAATTTTAACATTCAAGACTTCGGGGAGAGATCGAGAAAATCTATCAACATGTCACTTGGTATTAGACCTTAGTGGCATGTCATTCGGTTCTAGACCTCAGTGGTAGGTATTTCGGTATTCGACCTCATCGGTGGTCTTTCGGTTTTTGACTTAAAGGTGGTGTTGGGTCATTTAGTATTTTGCCTCAGTGGCGGGTCATTCAATTTTCGTCCTCAGTGGTAGGTCATTTGTTTCTCTACCATATCAGTAGTTATTCAGTTTTCAATCTTATCGGAAGGTCATTTGAACTTCGACCTTAGTGGTAGGTTTTCGATCTCAGTTGTCGTTCAGTTCCCTACCTCATTAGTAGTTATTCAGTTTTTTACCACATTGAAAGGTCATTCGATCTTCGATCTCAATGGAGGATCATTCGGTTTTCGACCTCATCGGCAGGTCATTTGATTTTTGACCACATCGGCAGCTCTTTCAGTTTTTGACCTCATCAGGTGGTCATTCAGTTTTATCGATAGTCATTTGGTTTTTTACTTAAAGGTGGCATTGGGTCATTCGGTCTTTGACCTCAACGGCGGATCATTCTGTTTTCAACCTCATCGGTAGACTTGGCTGGCTCTCTCCAGAGTCTAGAGGCTTTGTGTACAACATTTCAAGAACCTTTTCGTAAGAACATTTGATTTTCGACCTCAGAGGTCGTTCGGTTCTTTACTTTATCGGCAGGGCCTTCGGTTTTCGATTTCAGTGGCAGACGGTTTCGGTGTTCGACCTTAGTGGCAGGTCCTTCGGTTTTCGACCTCAGTGGTCATTCCATTTTTGGTGTTTGACCTCAATAGCAGGTCTTTGAGTCTTCGACCTCATCGGGTGGTCATTCAGTTTTATCAACCATTCAGTTTTCGACCTCAGCAGCGTTAGGTCATTTGGTGTTCGACCACAGTGGCGGTCATTTGATATTCGACCTCATTAACAGGTCACTCGGTATTCAACCTCATTGCCAGGTCAGACGGTTTCCCGTGTTTGACCTCATTGGCAGGTCTCTCAATTTTTGACCTCAGTGGTCATTCGATTTTTGGTGTTCGACCTTATTGCGAGGTCTTTCGATTTTCAACCTCATCGGTTGGTCATTTGGTTTTATCGACATTCATTTGGTTTTTGACTTAAAGGCGGCGTCGGGTCATTTGGTCTCGACCTCAACGACAGATCATTCGGTTTTTGACCTCATCGGCAGGTCATTTGGTTTTCGACCTCATTGGCAGGTCATTATGTTGTCGATCTCAGTGGCGTCAGGTCATTTGGTTTTGGACCTAAGTGGTGAGTCATTTGATATTCGACCTCATTGACAGGTCACTCGGTGTTCGATCTCATCGATAGGTCATTCGGTATTTGACCTCAGCGACGTGTCATTCGGTATTCAACTTTAGCGGGAAGTCGTTTAGTTTTCGACCTAAAGATAGTGTCAGGTCATTTGATTCATTTAATGGTTATTTAGATTATTTATAAGTCGTGTCAGGTATGCGATGCTCTTTTGGTGATTATTTGGTGGTCGATAATTTATTCAAATTATAACATCAGTGGCAGATTGACGGAAACAATCAGAGAAAACATTTCACTCTTGGATCGAGGCTAAGATATCCCAAAACCTCATTCTCTATACATTTACTACGGGCATGAGGCTTGATTAGCTCTAATTTTTCGCACGCTTATCTGATTGACTTGAAATTTCGACTCACGCTCCTCAAATGTTTTTCTCCTCGTCTTGAGATGTGTAAATGAGTGTCACCACACAATTAATAAATACTCTTTGAATGACTCGGAAATGGTTTGCGTGGCTCGGACATGGTTCGGACGGCTCGACAATGTCTCGGAAATGGCTCGTTTTTTCAAACTCGAATAGTGTGGACCTAAACACACCAAAAAGACAAGAAAAATACGCCGAACAACAAAAACACAATAAGAGAGCAAAAATACACAAAGCACGATAAAATGGACCGGTTGTCACTAAGACGGACCTAAGAACAATCAACTAAAACATATAAAACACATGTAAATAAGCACAAAAACACAATAAACACTCTCATATTGCACTCTTTATCTCTAGCGAGTGCTAACTTAGGCATCAGAGGCTCGACGTCGGGACCCCTTCGGCATTGAGTTCTTGCAGGTACGGAAGCCGTCCGAATTGAAGGAGCTCAGGTGAAGTCCATTTCACTAGCACAAATAAAAAAATGTTAAGTAAATAAAGTGAAAAAAAAAGTATAGATAGATGGGTAAAGTGTAATTTTTCAATTACAATTAATTAAATGCACGTCTGAAAAGTTAATTTTGCTTTAGAAACTCCCGACGATGGTCGAAAATTGGCTAAGTGTAATTTTTTGCAAAGTTATATAGACAAAGTTTCACGAAAAAAAATTGAGTGAGTAAAATACAGAAAGAAAATCATATAGTTAAGATTGATTAAGTGTGGTTATCGATAATTTGTACCAATTCACATGGAAATGTTTGGGAGCTCTAAAAGAATTAATGATGAGAAATCTTCAATTCTTCAAAAGAGTAATGATTATAGATTTGGCTTTCTCAAATTCTGAAATTGTTTTACGCATTTTTAGTGAAGATTTGATATAGGTTAAGTTGATACGATATCATTTTTTATTAAAAGCATCTCCAAGAGCCTCCTTATTCCTCTTTCTTATCTCAAAAATAGGAATTTTCTCTCAAAAACTGTCTCCAACAGTTCTCCTAAACTTGGTCCTATTTCTAGGATGTCCTCAAATAGAGGCTTCTCTTCCTCATTTCTGGAGAGGAAAAAATGACCCCCCATTTCATCTTCCCACCATTATTTTCGATACGCGCTCTTTTTCTTCAACCTCTCGCGGTATTTTTCCTCCCTGCTCCTTTCATCTCCCCCTCGTCGCCCTCCACCGCCGCCCCCTCGTCGTCCCCTCGCCGCCCTCCACTGCCGCCCCTGAACAGGTCGAATCCCTCGCAGCCGCCGCCGCCGGAAAGGTGCCGCCACTACCGATGGAAGGTGTCGGCGTCGCCCCATGACGAAAAGGTGGCGCCGCCGTCGCAGCTGCCGCAAACAAGGTGTCGCCGCCGTTGCCCGATCAAGACTCCATCGATTTGTGGGCCTGATTCAAATTCAAATTATAAAATCTCTTGGAGGACAGCAGAAAATAAGAAGCAAATTGATATAGGATGGCTCTTTATTTCTCTAAATAAGAAGTCTAAAATAAGAAGTCTCTTGGAGATGCCTGCAAAATTAGAAAGGGCACTTTGCCAAATAAAAGACAAATATTAAAGATGAGAAAAGTAAGCAAGTATGTGGGCTTCAGGCCGTTAGATTGAAATCACACACAGGCCGATGAAGTATTATCTAAGTTAGACCCTTGTAGAGTCAAATTTTCCTCGGCAAAGTCTCCATTCTCAACTTCTCATCTCTCTTCCTCTTTCAAGATCTCTCCGGAAAAACCCAAACGCCAAAATCATGATTCCATCTGTAAAGTAATCCCCTTTCCTTCCTTAATTTCCTCGCTCGACAGGGGTTCACGCGGCTCCCCACCCGCATTCACGTCTCCAATACATTTTTGTGCACATCTATTTTGTACAGTGTATATTGGGTTGATCGAGTGAGATTGGTGCTTCTTCTAGGATGGTAGCTGCAATGCCAACCTCGGGCGCGAACGGCGGGGACGTTTCGAGAGCCCACATGGCGATGGCGGCCGTGCAAGTCTTCGCCGGCGGCTACCACGTCATCACCAAATTGGCGCTCAACGTCGGCGTTAATCAGCTCGTATTCTGCGTCTTGAGAGACCTTCTGGCCCTCTCGATCCTAGCCCCGGTTGCCTATGTCCGTGAGAAGTCAGTCTCACTCTCTCTATCTCTCTCTCTCTCTCTCTCTATACATTTACTTTCTATTTTGTTGAACAGAATAAGTTCTCAAATATATGAATGGCTGAGCTCTGTAATTTTACCTTGAAATCTTATTTTTCCATTTGCTTCCCCTTAGGGTGTTTTGAAGTGTGTGAAAAATTGGAAAACTGTATGAAGGTACAAGATTTGTGACACTGCTCATTGATTGAAATATTAGGTCTCCTAAACTATAAAGCCAAGAGTCCTCATTGATTGAAAGGGGAATCTCTGTAGCTGAAGAATACCTTTGATTGTCTTGGTAAAATATGTATGTACGATTTACAGCTAAGCAAAAAAACAAAAAAAAAAGTGAAGCATATGGGAGTTTCAGAACACGATAACCGGGGGGTTCTAGTTTTAGACGTGCACTTATCCAACCAGTGCTGCTACGAAACTACAAGTGATTAGCTTTGATTTCAAAAGAAATGTATAAGGAAACAAATCTAGTCTTCCACACTCATAGCTATTTAATTATCCCTATTTTATTCTGAGGAATTCTTGTAGGATGTAATAAATCTTCGATTAAGCAATCAAATTTGAAGCTTTTTCTTGATTAACTTAATCCGTTCGGCCAAGGTGAACATGAACTTCTGAATATCACTTTGTGTGTAAATGGAAACAAACTCTGAATGATCACGTCAAATTACTGTAGCACATGTCATCTGCGTTTCTGATCTAAGTTGAAGTAGGTGTATGTTCAACAATCATCCACATTGGTTTTGCCATTTGTAATATACAAAGTATCTTAACTTAATGAAATCGTCAATTATTATATCTCTTAATAGTTTCTTGAGTTAGTTAATTTTGTTTGTTGAAATGTATGGGGAAACATTGATAATGTTCTATATTTTTTTTTTTTTTTTTCAGACGGCAAAGATTGCCACTAAATAGGCAGTTCATTACATCCTTTTTTTTTCTTGGTTTAACAGGGTAAGTGGAGTCTCTCAGTTTGGTTTGGGTTCTTTTTTTCTTTTATCTTTTTTAAATAATAATAATATTTTCTCACTGTTTTTTCTTGTTTTGTTTGCTGTTGGATTAGCATTTTTGGAAATCAACTTTTGTTTCTTCTCGGTCTTGGCTACACGAATCCAACTTATGCTGCAGCCATACAGCCTGCTATTCCGGTCTTCACATTTATATTGGCTGTAATAATGGGGTGAGTCTAAGATCTCCAATCAACTCTCTCTCTCTGTTTCCCTCTCTGTCTATTCCTGACATACAATCACACACAATTTTGTGCTTCATTGGATAACTGCTTGTGCAAGTGTATTTACATGCATGAAGATCGTAAAGAGGAGTACATCCAAATCAAAATTCCATTATTGTTACATATGGTTGTTCTATGTTCAGTACAGAAACTCTAAATTTACAAAAAGCTGAAGGTCAAGCAAAGCTAGGAGGTACCCTTGTTTGTGTCTTTGGTGCGGTTCTGATGGCTATGTTCCGGGGTCCAGCTGTGTTTGGATATAAGGAATTAGATTTCACATCGCATAGTGAGATAAGCGCCAAGGGTCAGCCAGAGCCTGCTGGTTGGTTGATGTCTAGTCTACTTGACCTGGGCTTTGATAATTGGCACCTTGGGGTTTTATGTTTGATAGGAAACTGCATGTGCATGGCTACATATCTAGCCATTCAGGTAAATCGTGATGTTCATAATTTTGTATTTTCCGGTCTGTCATGAATCATGTAATCGATATTTGTTATTTATTTATTAAACCAAATTTTCAATACAGTTTCATCTTACATATCTTTGTGTGTGATCTTCTCAAAATACAGTTTCTTCTTACATCTGTTTGTTCCCTGTGTATTTTTCTCTAATTTTGTTTGAGAACAGATTCCATTTCAGTATGTATTGATAGTTTTATTGTTTAATCTGTGAAAAAATATATAGTTGTATTGTTTTGACATTTCTGATGTTTTAAAAAGCAAGTGTGAAGTTCATCTGGTGTTTTAATTCTTTATTTCTTGATTCATCAAGTAATATCATGCTTCAAGGTGTCCAAAGAGTTTTTGCATTTTATACTAATTTTTCAGAACCAGTTCGAAGTGAAATTGCCTCGAGATTGAAATTAATTTTAAGAAAAATTGTAAATCTTCATATCTTTTTTATTATATCTTCCAACAGAGATCTGGTTTACACTTCATTTTCTAGGTGCATCACTGTACCCAATGGATTGTAAATTCTTTTCTTCCTCGTGGTAAAATCAGCCCATTCTCTTTTCTGATGTTCTATAGGAACTATTTTAAGCGATTTCTGTAACCAATGACAAATTGACGATGATATGTTTTATGGACTTTAGCTGTATTTCTGTGCAGGCCCCCCTTTTAGCCAAGTATCCTGCAAGTATATCAGTGACGGCATATTCATACTTTTTTGGTGCATTGTTCATGGTGGGAACTGCCATTTTTATGACAAATGAATCAACTGACTGGAATCTCACACAGTCCGAGATTTTTGCCGTATGCTATGCTGTAAGACATCTCTTTCTCTGTCTCTCTCTGGGGCCAGAAGTGTAAAATATCATCCCAGAAGCTTTTGACATCTCGCATTAGATAAAAAGCTCTATACTCACTCTCTGTGATATGCACTTTTCATTCTTTGACGAACTCTTTTTCTTTTCATAGGGAGTTGTGGCATCTGCTCTTAACTATGGGCTTTTGACATGGTCAAATAAAGTCCTTGGTCCTTCATTGGTCGCTTTGTATAATCCACTTCAACCCGCTGCTTCCGCTTTCCTGTCAAGAATTTTCCTAGGAAGCCCAATTTATTTAGGAAGGTTATATCTCTAACATTTGCCTTTGCATTACTTTGACATTATCTTTTTGGGTTAATAATAACTACAAAACCCAACTTTGAGTTGGGTGGTTACATTTTTGAGAACTCTTACATTTTTTCAAAATCATATGTAAAGTTTTGTAACGTCGACATTCGAAAGAATATAGTAACCGTCTAAAATGACTGAATCAAATGGCATGGGATGTGATTGTAATAATTCCCTGTTTGTTCAATTTTTTCTCCCCAAGAATAAGGTCTGGGTAGTTTATGTAATGTCAGTTTTATTTTTATTGTTATTACATAACTTTCTCAAATTTCAGTTTGGATCATCTATTTCTTCCATTGTTCCTACAAGCCACATTTAGTCTTGTATTCATCCCGTTACAACGCAAGTTATTTTATGTGTGGCGCCCAATAGAATGAATTAAGAATTGCAATAGTAGAAGTCCAATATTTTTTCAGTTTCTTTTAGTAGTTTTCTTCCTGCAATTCTCATCTTGATATCAAACCTATGAAAATTGTCAGTTGACCATCACACGCACATACACAACACGCACCCATGTATTGTGTCTGAATTTTTGTCTACTTTGAAACAGTATACTCGGTGGATTTTTCATCATAGCCGGGCTTTACTTGGTCACATGGGCATCTTACAGAGGAAAGCAGGCAAATCTGGGAATGCCTCCTCTTGCCTCTCGGTCATCCGAAACCATCGTTAATCGGGATTCATCCATCACTAAGATATCATTCCAGCTAGGACATCTTTTCTCAGGTTCATCAACATCGTCCCCTAAGATTGTCGATTAACTTGAATCTTCACCTATAGTTTGCTGTGACTGACCTTTGGATCACTAATGTTTATGGGGAAAATTTACATTGCTCATACATTTTGATGATTTCTAACCTACATTCTTCAATATATATACATATATCTATATGTTAAACTCTTTATTCAAAATTTGGTTTGGTTGTGATATAGCTAGGACTATGCAGCAGAGCCATAAAATATTATCACATGACCACAATTTGAATCCATCTAGCAAGTTCACACCACAGACAATTTGGCTTATTAGTTGCTAATGGTCGTAGCATTATTCAATTAAATGGGTGATTGGAAATATTTTTTTTTTTTTTTTTTTTT